TACAGAGGATCCATGTTTTTTTTGGCTGGGAGAGACTAAAGCCTGGGAAAAATGCTGAAAATGTTCGTCCCTTAAAAGTCTGAAATAATGTTCAGTTCAGAATACAACTAAGTTTGCTCAGACAGATTCAACCTCTAAGACTAAACATCTGATTCAACACAAACCAATATATTCTGGTTTTAGTGGCCCCATCTTGGTGTGTGATTGATTCTTGTAACAGTTATCTAGCCATCAGAGAGTCTATTACACCTGCAATTCTACTTAACATGTACTAAAACATAAGCACAAGGTCATCAGGCAGAGCCCACACCACAGGTTTACACTGAGCAAAAGTGTTATAGCAGCAGCGGTTTATTTATCCCTGCCATGTAACTTTAACAGCCTTTCTGTGTGGATTCTGGCAACCAGGGACTTCCATTGTTCCCCAAATTGTCTAACAACATTTTCAAACGCTTTTCAGTTTTAGCAGATAATAAAACATAAGACCACTATCATTGCCCATCCTCTTTGATGCTCTCCTCAAAAACTAACCCCCCAAACTCATAAACTGCTTTCCTAATAAAACTGTATGAGAACACAGCTCCCTCAATTTGAAGGACTCAGACTCCTGCCTCCAGTGAGTTTTCAAAATCCTGTGGGGTAAGGATTTCTGACTAGTTTCTCTGTAAAATGCAGACATTAAAAATAAATTATGGGTGTGGATGTGCCGCCTTTCCAGCCCTCTCCCCACCGCATGCACTTCCACCCCCAGTTTCTTCGCTAGTTTTCATGTAGATTTGTGCCAGACATTTGGCATCCTCATTAAGTGGTGTTTGGCAACCTGCCTAAGTTTTAGTGGGTTCTGGGAATGCCAATATATTAACCAGAGGACTTTTTGCATACCCTAGAGAGATTTTATTCTAGAAAAGTCAACCATTTGGCACAAAGAAAACTTATTTCAAATCTAGAAAAGCTCTCCGTTGGCAATAAGAAGAAAAAATGCATTTAGATTGTTCATAATTTCTTTCTCCTACCTGAAAGAAAAGTTTGATGTAGAGTAAGATCATTCAAACACAGTTTAAAAGGTCAGAGTGTTGTCTGTAGTAGGATTTTAGAGAAAAGAACAGCAGATATGAAAAACACAGACACAGTACAACATCAAGAAAATTATTCATTTCCAGTCCCTTGTCTCTTGTGACCAAAATAATCTTAATCAGAAAGATTAAATTTACCCATTATTATGCTGAGTGATAATGAATGATGATATGGGTGCTTGAAAATTTCCACTGCTTAACTAAAACAATGAGAAAAAGCATTTAGCAAAATGCATCCACATTTAGCATATTCCAAATACGCTAAATCAAGGCATACGCTACTGAAACGCATATATTAAATAAATATAGATGACGAATATGGAGACATTTTGCCAGCATGAAATACAGAACACACTGTAATGTTGTGCTCACTCTTATTCACCTGCAAGCATTCTTTCTCCTGCTCTCCTCTTACAGTAACTATTATTCAACTGACTGTCTCAGAAATCAGCAAAAAAACCTCCTCTGTAAAAGAAAGAAATCAAATTTATTTTTCAAATATGAGGTTCAGAAGGAGACAACGGAAAAAAATAAAGGTCCACAGCTTTCCTTCACTGGAATATTCTGCTCATGCAGCACATAGAGAAATTAAAAGTACACTGGACAAATGTGTCATTTCGAGGCTGTTTCTGCAGGCTTCCACATCCAGAGAATCCGATCCTCTTCAAGAAGTTATTCAGGTAATCTGCTATCATATAGATATCACTATCCATTGTTACTATAAATTGCTTCAAATCTTTACTTCAAACTCATCATCTTCGTGAAAAAAATTGCTGGCTTCCTGATACCAGCTCCAAAACACCAAGATCCTTTTATAATGACCAGTTAGCATCAGAGATTCAGCAAGAATCAATTAAAATCAATTCCATTTAAATGTTTTAGTGTACTAAGATTATGTTTGGTGTGAAAGAAATTTTTAGCTATCTAGGCTGCCTTTGCTTAGATATCAACCTTCTGGGCAAGACGGCTATTCTTAAAAATAGCTGTCAACTGAGAAAAGAAAATGTATATGTATGAATCATTTCACTACAGGGTTGGATTCCCAGCAACTGATGCACCACTGTTCTGGCATCAGTGCCTTTAACGAGCAGCTGATACTAGCTTGGTGCCATTGAAGAATTTCACGGTTACCACAGAACCAATCTGCAGAAAAATTCATCTCTAAACTCCTAGAAGTATCTGCATTCTGTAACTGGCAATTCACTTGCAGGGAGCTGTTTTGAACCATTAGAAACTAGACAGAAAAAAAACTTTTCCAAGACCACTCATAAGTTGAATGCAACAACCATGACTCCTGATGCAAGAGCTGTTGGACAGACATCCACTTTTTAAAACTTCATTTCTCTTAGAGATTACATTAAATGACTTCTAAGGTACTTCTCTATTATTTCAATAATCATTTACTTCTCTCTGGCACATCATATCCTGAAAGTATTCCAAATTATTTCAGATGGTGTCACTTGACGTGCAATTACTTCTTGTCAGAAGGGCAGTAGCCACTATACAGAGTATTGCAGGGCAGATGTGAAAAAGAGAACTAAATTATGGTCAAGAAAATCAGAAAACTTCTCTTCCCCTCCTCCCCCCCCCCAAAGTGCACCTTCAATGCAGAAAAAACTAACAACTCATCTTTTCAACTCTCACCTTAATGTCCTATGCAAATACCATTTTACCTACTTAAAAATAACAAAGGGACAGGTTAGTTCTAAATTCTTAGGTTAAGCTACTCCTCAATAGCTTTAGTCTTATCGAACTTAATGCAACTGTGCCTCAATCTTGAATCTCGATTTCCTTCTACTTCCACAAATTTTCTTATAACAAGTCTAAGATGATGAAGACTGAATTCAAACTTCCATTAGTCAAACGCTGCCTAGTGCCTGCAAAGTTTCAGTTAACAAAAAACAATGGTCTGAAATATACTGTCTCACATTGTTCATCTTCTGCATTACACACTGATCACCATTTAGGCCCACACTGGAACCTGAATTTACTGGAGAATATTGACATGCCTTATATGTATGCAACCATGATCTTCACATACTCTAGTGGGAACTAAATATGCTGCTATAAACACAGATTACATAAAAACATACATTTCTACTTCCATATAGTTGACACATTCCAATTTGATTTCTCCTCATGCTGGTCACTTTATGTATCACAGTAACTTAATACCTGGTGCTAAAACACCAGTACAGATACAGATGCATCATCACTATCTCAGTTAATGTGGATGAGGGGAGGCTGATTAGGCTGCTTCCCACTAGTGCACTGGTCTTCCAGCAAAACTTCCCCTTACAGTCACAAAGCCATAATATTTATATGCTCATTAGTGGAACCAAACACGTGCGCACCACACGCAGTAATTTAATTCTACTCAACAGGGCATCATATGTTATTCCAACAACTCTGGATCATTGCAAAGAATAGATTTCCCAAAACATTATCTTAGAAATGAAATTGGAAGGTAGAATAGAAGTTTTGTCTAACCAATATATCCAGGGGTTGAAGGACCAGCAAGGAACATTGCTCATACTTACACAGCATCTATGTTCTTACCTCATCTATGACTACCAGTAATTGCCCCTCAGGCTTTCTTACTGGCAAAAACTCTCTTCCTTTTTGGCTAGTCTCAGATGTACAATGCTGTAGACATTTCACTCCATGTGCTACATGATCACCTTTCCACAAACGTTTTAATGCAGGAATTTTTTTGTTTGGAAGCACAGACAAACCTCTTAAAGGAACTTTTCATCCTGACGAGAAGATGCCCACGTTTTAGATCAGCAAACTTTTATAACACCAAATGCGACTTCTAACACCATATGAAATTATTCACCAGACTTCTGCTCTCCTGCACAACCACCATTTGCTATTCCAAAAAGGTTCTGAATCCTACCAAAATCTGTATCATTCTAGGTGTTAAGATCTCCTAAGAAAACAGAAGTTACTTTTGTATTTTGCCCGTTTCCTATTTGTTCTTTACTGAACTTAAAGCTAGACAAAACGGTGCGTTTGCCTCTTTAGCAAGCATCAAACCGTAGCCTACGCATAACTATCTACCCACCTACATGACAGAAAACGTGGCACACCATTCAGAAATTTGGGATGCACATATTCAATGCGAACAATGCAGGCAGGCGTCTGAAACAGGCAGGTAAAGCTAGACTTCTGCTTATAAACTTTCTTTTTTTAGGGAAAAAAAGGCACTTCATTAAATATAGGTCACTAGTGCGTGAGCCCGGTAGCCGCACTGCTGCTCTGCCTTCCCGTGAAAGTTGCCCGCCCGGCGCTGGGCGCGCACCGCGGCCGGGTATCCCCGCCAGGGTCCCCTCCGGAGCCGGGCAGGACTCCCGTTCCCGGGCTGTTCCCGAGCTGCGACACCAGCCCTGCGGCGAGCCGAGCCGAGCGGCCAGACGGAGCTCCAGTATCCACTTCGGAGCAGCCGGAGAGGACGTGCCGCGCACTCCCTGTTCCCCAGCGCCCTGCCCGCCGCCGCGGCTCCGCAGCCCCGCTCGTCTCCGCCTCTCCTGCGGAGCGCCGGAGGTTTCCCCTCCCGGCGGCCGCTCCGGCTGCTCCCCGGGCCAGGCGGAGCAGGACGGCGGCAGCAGGGCTCCCCGGCTGCCCCCCCGCTCCCGGGGGTACCTGTCAGCGCTGCCCCTCGCCCCGGCCGGCGCCCCCACCTGCCCCTCCGGTGCCGCGGGGGACGCGCTCAGCCCGGCCCCGGCAGCGGCTCGGGGGGGGGCCGGGGCTGCCCCCGCCGCGGCACGGAGGGTGGCCGAGCGCCGCCGGAGCCCCCCGGCAGCCGCCGCCTCGTCCCTCGCCCGCTCCCAGACCTCCAACTCGGGCCTCCCCGCACTTTCTCCGGCACTTTCCGCCGCGGCGCCCCCCCCCGCCCCCGTCCCCGCCGCGGCGGGCGGCACTCACCTCCCGCCGGCCCCCGCCGCTCGCCCCCGCGACGCGCTGGCCTCCTCCGGAGCGCCTCGCCGCCTCCCCCTGCCTGTCTCCGGCAGCCTCTCTCCCTGCGCTGAGGCTGTGCCTGCCTCCAACTCATCCCCAGCCTCTCCTCCTCCTCCCCCCGCCCTGCCCGCCCCGCTGGCTGCCGCCTGTCTGCAGCGAGTCTGGCTCCGGCGGGCGGGCGGGCGCGGGGGCCGCCGGCGGGGGGGCGGGAGGCAGGGGGGGAGGGGAGGCGGCGCTCCCGCCCGGCCCCGCAGCCCACACTGACACCTGCCGGGCGGATGTGCTTCGGCTCCGGCACCGGCCCCCGACGGCGACGGGGGACGCACGAAATTCCGGCGGGGACTCTCCTTCGAGGAGAGAAATCGAGTGAGGTTCAACAAGGACAAGCGCAGGGTACTGAACCGGAGGAGGAATAACCCCAGGTGCCAGTACGGGTTGGGGGCTGACCTACTAGAGAGCAGCTCTGCAGAGAAGGATCTGGGAGTCTTAGTGCATGACAAGTTAACCCTGAGCCGGCAATGTGCCCTTGTGGGGAGGACGGCCAATGGTATCCTGGGGTGCTTTCGGAATAGTGTGGTCAGCAGGTCAAGGGAGGTGATCCCCCCCCCACTCGGCTCTAGTGATGCCACATCTGGAGTGCTGTGTCCAGTTCTGGGCAAGAAAGACAAGGAGCTACTGGAGAGGGTCCAGCAGAGGGCCACAAAGATGATGAGGGGTCTGGAGCATCTCTCTCATGAGGAGAGACTGAAGGAGCTGAGCCTGTTTAGTCCAGAGAAGAGAAGACTGAGAGGGGATCTCATTATATATATAAATATAAAAATACCTCAAAGGCAGGTGCCAAGAGGATGGTGCCAGACTCTTATTGGTCATGCCCAGTGACAGGATGACGAACAATGGCCATAAACTAAAACAGAAATAGTTCCATCTCAAAGAATTTCTTTACATGGAAGGCAGCAGAGCACTGGAACAGGCTCCCAGGGAGGTCATGGAGTCTCCCTCCTGGAGTCACTGAAAACCCACCTGGAGGCGATCCTGTGTCACCTGCCCTAGTAGGGACCTTGCCTTGTCAGCGGGATCAGGGGATCATCTGTGGACCAGATGATCTCAAGAGGTCCCTTTCAACCCTAACGATTCTGTGAATCTGATTCTGTGCGCTGCTGGCATTGCTTCGGGAACAGCGCTGCTCCTGCCACACTGGCTCCCAGCCAGGCACACAGAGAGGGCACAGGCCATGGGGAACTCCTGGCAAGGGGGCAGCCCCCAGCCCGCCCAGTCCCCACGGGGCAGTCCCACCACCAGCCCACCAGGCAGTCCCTGCCTCTGTACCCCTGTAAAGGTCAGGACTAGTGCGGGGAGGGGGGAGCAAAAAAAGTACACTTTGTCCCGTGCAGAACGAGAAATTTTTTGACATTTCAAAAAATGTTGCAAGACAGGAAAACCCAGTTCATGTCACAGCCCAGCAGGCACGAACCCAAGGCAGCTTCTGCCCTGCCTGTGTTCACTTGCAAGTCCTGTCCAACTCAGACTCTGTAATGCAGCCCTGCATAGAGCCATCAAGCATTCTGTAGCCCTTGACCTCCCCCTCTTCCTGTTAATATATTTTGGGATGCAGGGCTGTGGTATGGATCATCTAGTAAAAAGGCCACCTTAATCTCAGCTATGCCAAGCCACTTGGGAACAAGTATAACAACCAAAGTTGCGATTACATGCAGGAATATTTACACACAGAATTCTCACAGAAAAAAAAAATCCCTATTTCTGGGAGCACTGGAACAGATTAACAGATTGCCTAGAGAGGTTGTGGAGTCTCCCTCATTGGAGATGCTCAAGAACCATCTGGACACAATTCTCGGCAATGTGCTCTGGGATGACCCTGCTTGAGCAGGGAGGTTGGGCGGGATGACCCACTGTAGTCCCAGCCTGACCCATTCTGTGATTTCTGTTGATTTAGACCATCAGCCTCAGTCCACATTCCCATCCATGATGCACTCTGAAGACTTTTCCCTTCCCAGTTATACCTGTAACCCTAAGAATGAAGAGGAGAAATAGCAGGGACAAGCTAATATGAACAACTGTAAAGGTTGCTAACTTTAGGCAGGTGCATGTTTGACTCAAATGTGCTTGTTTCCCTGCTTGCCTCACCTCGTCCTAGTTGCAAGTTGGAAGGAAGATGTAAGTCTGCTTGAAGGAGCCAGGAATCTGCCAACCCAGAATTCAGAGCACCAAGCTATGAAGATCACGGAGGTGACGGCCTGCAGTTCATGCTGCGAGTCACCATATGTGACTGGAAATGGGGAACTACCAGAGTAGTTCCAAAACAGAGAAACAGTCAGATCAGCAGTGAAAGACAAATTTAGCAAACATATTTTGGATTAAGACACAAGGAGCCAAAGGAACATCAAACACTACAGAAAGGAGGAGCTTCCAGTAATATGGATAATATATTGGAGCTATTTGTCCTGAAGGTTACAAAAATCATGAAAAGATCACGGGGTTAATCCATAACTTGGTATTTATAACATTTATTTATAGTCTAGCAAATTGAGAGAACCTTGATTTCAAATTTGCTCTGTAGTAACCCATCAAGAGTCAAGTGCTCCGTTTCCAAGAGTGCCCTGGTAATCTGTATATGCTTCACAACAAATGAGTCTGACATGCTTCAGCTGTGTTCCCTTCAATGACTTCTCAAGGAAGACCAGAGTTCATTCACTTCTGCCAAGAGAGTCTTGTCGTGTGCAGAGGAATATCCTAACCCATGGAAAACTTTGTAAAGCATAACAAAATCACCTACTAAGTAACAAATTATTTCTATACAATACCTCTTGAGTGAAAAAAAATCCCTAGCAGCAATTTGGGATATTTTGGGCACATAGGAGGAGGACAGCAAAAACAAGAGAAAATGCATAGACTAATGCACATGCTCAGAAAGCATCATGCATGGATCCACGTCTGGAAAAGGAAATGCCAAGAACACTATACTGCTGGTACTCTTGTTCCTACCCAAGGTATCTCTGGAAGAGACAATCTACAACCTAATATACTGTTGCCAGTGGGCAACAATTCCTCAGATATACAAATTCCCTTACCTTTTCATCACCAAAATTACCATTAGAAGTTCTGTTCCCTGTCTTGCTCCGCTTAAAACTGTCTGAAGAATGTCAGTATTTTTAAAGCATAGAGAGACAGTTAAAGAGGAGTGTTAACATTTTTTCTCTGAGATCTTGGAAATCTCATAAGAGATCTTGGAGTTGTGTAGAGGTTTCACCCTAAAAAGAATCCCAGGAGAGTTTGGTTATATGAAGAAGCTTACCTTAAAACAAAACAAACAAACAAAAAAACCCACAAAAACATCCCTTCAGTGAAAGCCATACTGACAGTATCCACAAGGTTGCACAGGCATCCTGACAGTTCATTTCCTGAATAAACAAGTTCTTACAGCTGATTTAAGGTGTAGGCAGATCTGTGTATGATTTACATTCTTATCTTCATCTTCTTCTCTAAACACAGCAATGATATAGTTAATATTTGAACAGTTGGGGGGGTTGTTGTTTTTTTTACTACTTTATCATTCATCTGACAGTAAAAGTTACTTCCATTTTACTGGTAGACACCAAGGTGCTGTGTTCCTAAGGGTGGAGCTTAACAACAGGAGCACCACTTAGCCCTGCCATGTCCAGAACCCCAATGCAAGAACCAAAGCAACCTGGCAGACAGGTTCTCTGCTGACTATAATAAATACTTGGCCCAATCATGCTATTAGATCTGGTAGGAGATACACAGCCTGGTGAAGCACTTGGTCTGAGTGTCCACACCCATCCCTTGTGAGCCCCTTGTTTGGGCTTGTTACATATGCTGTAACTGCTATCCCTTCTTCCTTCCCAGTCTGGCAGTCTGCAAGACATGCCACACTGCTAGGGAGGAAGTCAGTGGGAAAAGCAAGTATTTGAACAATTAGACTGAGAGGAACAAATTTGAATCCAGGGACATAATGGCTGTTGGTTTTAGTTACTGGTGACTCATCTTGTTTCCCACCAGGAAGCCACAGATCAGTGTATTTCAAGTATTACTGATTCCTATTATCTGTTACACTGAGAGAACAAGGAGGAAGAAATTAAAAACACTCAAACCGCAGTAAGAACATAGACAAATAACATATGGGCACATGTAATAAACCAGTCCTGCTAAACTACACATAAAAGCATGCTACAAATAAAACACCTAAAACTAGTCAGAAGAGTATTCAGTAGGGTTTTCTACGCAATAGGTCGTCCAGATTCATCTCACAGTCGTCCACCACGAGCAGATAAGCACTGCTCATAATTCTAACTTGGTGCTGTTTCGCAAAATAAAAGACTGCAACCTTGCTGGCACCCTGCAGTACACAGGGACAGAAACATCTTCAATATGCCATCTTCCAAAAGAGCCTACTCGATCAAGTCCCAGGGTGGAGGGGCCTTGGTTTTGGTGGTTTAGTGGGTTTTTGTTATTGTTGTTTTCTTTTCACAGCAGAATCTAGTGAGGGAAGCATTACAACAGAGAAAAATACGACAATTCTCTCTTCCTAAAGCCAGGAAGTTATATTCTTTCTCTTGGATGATTCCCAAGAAGGTCATTCCTTTCAAGGGCTTCCACTCTCCTTCCTGATTAGACTAACTAGAGTACACCAGGGAAGAAAATCTCTATATTAAGCAATTTATGGAACTAATGGCAAGCAATCAAATCTCCTCAAAATTTTAAAAATCAGTAACATACAAAAAACATTCCACAAGCTTGCCATTACATTTTTGGCCATTTTGAAGGAAAAAGGTCTGTCAAGGAACCTTTTAGGAAAAGATGCTGAAATTTTCCAAAGTGCTTCAAAACCTTAATGTAAATTCTAATGTTTCGGTGGGAGAGGGATGGAGGCCTCAGTGTGCACCAGCCTTCAGAGAGGTGCAAGGCCTTGACGCGCATCTAAGTGCCCCAGGAGATGTGTGCAAATGGACTTACTTGTAGGGCCTCTTGACTAGACACAGGGGTCCAGGACCCAGACTC